TAACAAATTCCTAGCCATTGTAGGGGCCCAAAGTATTGGGAGTGCTTTTCCCTCTTCCACTCCTTTCTTGTGGTACATTTTATGTTTGTTTGTTTTTTTAACTGAGTGCATTGTGGCTAAAGTGGATGCTCTTTCAGACCATTTTGGACAAACTGGTCCTGTAAAGACAAGAGACTAGATTTGATGGTCTGGAAGGTCCCTTCTAGTCTTGTATTCTTAACTTTGAGGGCAGGAAGTAGTCGTCCCATGGAGGTTTTGGGAATTTCAGAAATGTTCTGGGCCTACATTGTGATGAACCTTTTAAAGTACTAAAACTGGAAAGAGACACACCCATTCCTGAATGTGAGAATCCCTTAGCCTTACCATGTACCTGAACCTCCACTGCTGCAAGACCCCTCCTCCTGGACCCCTTTCCACCTCCAGCCCCACCTTCACTAGGCCTCTCACCACTTTGGACCCACTGCCACCATTGCAAAACCCCTTGCCATTGTTGGACCTCCACCAGTGCTGCTGTAGTGGCCATGGTAGCTGTCCCCATGTCCCAAGACAGATGTAGTTGAACACGCCTGCCCTAGAACGGTCTACAATGATGTTTTCCATTTACACAACATATTTCAACTTGAAACACTTTACACATCATATGTAAGGAGCATCACTGAAGCTCAGTAAGCTTTGAGAGTGAAATAGAAATTTTTGAGCAATGACAAAATGCACTATGGCCCCTTTAATAACTGCAGAGTTCACACTTGAGGTTTTGTCTGGAAAATCCATACAGTTAATTGTGTGGAACTCAATGTATCTACCTTTATGGTGAAAGGCTGACCTATGAAACTGTAGCCCCATGGAGATGTAATGTTTCTAATCTTAGTGCCTAGACTATTCAACCTTAACCAGGGACTACATGGTACATTGTTATTCTTTGTTTTACTCTCCACCCCCAAATTCCTCAACAAAGCACTGGTACATCAATAGCTAAATGAGCCACACACAGTCTGACCTCAGCCTTTATACACACATAAGGTCCTGTACAGACACTCACAGAACTACTTTGTAATAAGAGAAACTTAAATTTGTTTGAAGAGGATTAGACTACATTCAAGTTATGCAATCTGACATTAAAACTTGCAGTAGCTTCATTTCCTATGAATTATGCCTCAAGCTAAATTACTTAAGTAGGTAAGTTTGTTTAAGATTGCTTTACCCTGCTTATCTTCTACCTTGTCTTAAGACACTCCAAAACACAGAAGCTTTGTCAAGCCTCAGCTAATCAAGGAGCAGAAACAACTTCATGTGACATATGTATCCAGTTAAAACTAAACAAAAGAGCATGGTTTTCAAACATTATGCATTACATACTTGCAGCAAACTGTTTATCATCAATGCAAAGGGAAAAACTTAATCTGGAAAGTATTCTTCATGAACATTTTGAAACAGATGAAACAATTGCTTTTTCCCCAAAATTTTTTCATCAACCTATTTCAATTTTTGAAGACCAATTTCCCCCCCACTCTTCACTGCTTTCATGTGTTGAAAACCTATGCATTGTTTGTAAGCAACCTGAATATTTTTTCAATTTTTGATTTTGATGAACGCTTTCATTTTAAAAAGCCATACACAGGACCCTTACAAAGGAGAGCCCCTTCTCTAGGCAGTACAGTTATCTGCCTCTGCACACACTATTCCTTTTGCCATACTAGCTAATTTCAGTGGATTTAGTATCAGGCTGACTGACAGCTCTTGAAGCTACTGCTCTTACTATTGGGCAATTCAGTTACAAAAAGGATTTGGCTGCTGCAGACTTAAGATTGCCATTGGTATCCCTGCTCCTTACAGAATATCTAATTCAGCAAAACTAAATGATCTGAAAACTAGGAGATAGAGTTGAGGACCATGCCCAGGCAACCTCATCTCTGCCCTGCTGGAGGTGGCAATAGCCAACTGCAAATATCTACAGGGATTCTAGCTGTATTCACTGCATTAGGCACAGATGCATCGAATGATATAAGGATTAGCTGGAGCAGTTTAGCAGAGCATGTGTCAGAGGCAACTAAATTCTCATTAGTGTGTTAACTAAAGAGATCCAGCATGCCTCATTTCAGTGCTGCACTGTATAGGTTGTGTCAAACTGGAACTCCAGAGCCACCTTGCCATGGAAATTTGTTAGTGCTGTGGTAGGAAAAGAACGTGGTTTGTTGGCTTAATGTGTAATGGATGGCGGTAGATGGCACCATGTGCGTAAGTATGAAGGAGCTGTAAAATTTGGCAGGTGTAGTGCTTTGTCTGTAAAGAAGGCAAAGAGTGGAGAACGTATCATAAAGTAGGCATCAGTGGTTCCTGTTCAGCCCAGAAAAATGACAGTCATGGGTACAGCTTCCCAAGGGCAGAGTTCAAGTCGTGTGGTCAGGGTTCTTTCTTTGTTTTCAGAACTCTAAGTTTTGCTGAGCTACACATTCTGAAAGGGCCCAAGATACCACCAGGCAGTCTTAACTCTGAGATGATAAATGCTTTTCTGTTCAGTTCTGGTGTTTTGAACCAAAAGAGAAATGTTATTTTGTAGGAGTCAGTGATCATGGAAACAGCTGCATTTATCCTATAAGCTTTATTCTATGGCCCATTGCTGAAATGCTTGGAGTGTATACTTGCAAACAAGGACAGTGAGAGAAAAAACACAGACATGATCTGTGTCCACAAATCTTGATAGTTTTAATACATAGACAAGGGAGAGTAGACAGGTGTCTCTCTCCTTCTTCACCCACACATCCATCACAACATCTAGCACTTTTTCACCTACACATTTGATCACAACATCTAGCCCTCCCTGCTTCCAGCTCCCCTTCTGTCTCATTGAGTCACTACCATTTTAGAAGCCTTTAGTATGTAAAATGGGCAGCTTCTACATACATATATCGCACTGAACTAAGCCATATGCTCCTATGATGCTCACCCCCGCCATGCAGCTGGTCTCCCCGTTTTGCAGAGCCTCCCTACCTGTGCCTTGTGGTTCTCAGTCTTAAGTATAGCACAACAACCCACACCTCAATAATAGCTTGTTTTTCCCAGGAAGACACTGTTTAACATACCAGCAAGAGCTTCTGAGAAGAAAGCATGTAATAAAGAGCCTACAGAATGAAGTCCATTATGTGTGTTAGCAATTTATTATAGGTGTGAGCAGTAAGTAGCAGCATCAGTGACAATCTTCTGTCTCACAGTGACTCTCCAGATTAGTTCATCCCAGTGTCAAAGATCATTGGTATCTTATCTGAAGATAAACTAAAGACATATTATGGAGCTTCTAAATGGAAAAGGAAATTCCTTAAAAAGAAGACGTGCAGAGTCAACTTATAGTATCAACTGAGCATCCCTATTCCTTTCTCTCCTGCCACTCACAAAGCAATCCCATTAGCTGGAGAAAGTTTTAAAATGACTGTTTTAAAAAAAAAGGATTAGTACTTGTGCAAAGACTTGGTTTTGTGGTTCAAAATATTTGTTTGTAATAAAATACCTGCAAGTCTGGAACTTATATGGGAACAGCTACAGGAGAATGGAGCCATTTCTCACAAACCCACTATTATTCAAGGTTCTGTAAAAACCAGTAATGCTCTTGAAAGAATAGAATATATTGTCCCTTCTCAACCGAGTGAGAAGGGCCAAGACCAAGAGAAAACAAGAATGTAATAATATGCAGCAGGTGGTACCATCTGTGCTATGCAGACATTCCAGGGCAAACAGTCTGCTGCCCAGATTGTGAAAAGGTTTTTATAGTTGTTTCTCTATGAAATACTTGGAAGGTACTTGGAAACTCAGGGAAGGGGACCATACACATAGATACACAAGTCAGATCCTCAGCTGGTCTAAATCAGCATAGCTTAAGTGAAGTTAATGGCACTAATCTAATTTACATTGGCTAAGAAGCTGGCCCATAGACAGGGAAAGAATACAGAATAATGCCCCGTATTCTTTCAGTGTCAGAACAGATTGATGTAAATAAACAACTCTGTGACTCTTTCATGTTAGCTACTAAACCCCTTTTCCATCCTCATTGGTGGCATACCAAGAAAAGCATTAGAGGTGGGGATTCTTAGAAGACTAAGCTCCAATTCCTTGGAACTTATTTGCTACCCTGTTTAGATATACTAACCCAAAATAGCAGCTTCTTTGGCTCTTTGACATGCTGTCACTGAATTTCAGTCCACTAGCAGGTGCTCTAGAGAACCAATTCTTAAATGGGGTGCTGTGAGATCCTTTCAAAGGTGACACGCAATATTAGCACTGTTAGGTGTGTAAACACCAGCATGTTTTATGAGCTAAACCTAGACATTTCCACTAGGAATCCACAAATGTCAAAACATCATGACCAGTTTTGATTTTTCTGAGTCCTTTGCAACAGAAGAATTACGCTATTATTTTTGTAGCCAAAAAAAACAAATGAAAGGTAAGAGCTGGCATTTTCTGAGGGATACTTTGAGTCTACCAAGAGGCTCCTTGAGTTTAAAAATATTGAGAACCATTGCTCTAGAGTATGTCAGATTAACTAATGTTGCTCAGAGCAGATTTTCTTGAGTAAGCTGTATTCCATGTAGGGAGGGAAAATATTAATTGCTTGTTGTAGCCCCATCACAATGATCACTAGGTCTGCCCTATTTCGGGCTAATTAGTCATATAGATCTTTCACAGAGGCAACAGAGGGAAATAAAACATCCCTGTGTGCAGTACCATCACAGTTTTATCAGCAGTTTTGCTCTTTCCTGCAAAGGGAATGAAGAGGCCAGGTTGATTTAAGGGTTTTCTTTACAGGAAATTTCCCAGTTTATACCGTGGGGATTTTTTTGTCAGGGAAAGGTCAAGTTAAACTGCTTCTAAATTGACATAATCTGTGCTGGAAAAAAACATTATTATCCCAAACCAGTAGGTTCAAACAAGGAGGGGGCAGGGAGGGTAATAGTGCTATAAATGTTGGATCAGATTCCTTTTCCACCTATTAAACTAAATGATTTTTTCAGGTGCTCAAGCAGAGTGGAATAGGAGCGTACTAAGGAGCCTGACACAGCGACTTTTGTGACATGCTGTCATCTTAAGGTATGGACAGAAGTACATATCAGGCATTTCAGATTCCACCTTTCTTTAAGCACTTTACATTTTTGGCCCATTAGAGGTGTACAGATAAGTACAACAGTCTTCCAGCTGACGTGCATCTGTGAAGAGCTTGAGGGTTTCATCCAGGGTCATTTCTTATAGGTTTGGGGCCAATGTGTAGCACTATAACATTGTGTGTCATCTGCCAACTTAATTTTCTATCACTTAGGAATCATTTAAAATTCTATAAATGTTCCCTTTGTCTGTGCCTCTAGCCTTCAGAGTTAAGTCATCAAAAATACTAAGGAGAAGGAAGTTCCATTAACCCAGGGATGTCAAACAAAGCTCACAAGCTGGATCCAGACTTGTGAAACCTCTTTATCTAGCCTGCTATAGAACAAGCGGTCTTTTGACCCCATTGGCCAAGGCTGCCTCTGAACACTCATCATGTGCCCAGACCTGCTGCTGCTGCCTCTGGACCCACTACCCGTAGACCCCTGGCCATCTCCAGACCCGCTGCCAGTCCCACTGGGCACCTCGCTACTTCAGTGACCAGGGCATCCGCCCTCATGATCCAGCCTGTGAAGAGCCCTACAGTATGGATCCAACCTGGACCTCAAGTGAGTTTAACATCCCTGCACTACTCTTAATAGAACTTCAGGGGCTCAGGCGAGGTGGAATGTGATGGCATATACTTCTTGGCCTCTTGTTGGTTTAGATCATGTAGAATAAGACCTTGCCGATAACTTTCAAAATAATTGATTTTTCTGAATTTACTCAGAATGATTTTACCATGCAGAGAAATAGAGCTGGTCATGAATTTTCTGAAGAGACAGAGGTTTTTTTGTTGGAAATATATTGATTCACTGAGACCAATACTTTTAATGGAAATGGATGTATCACTTTCAACAAGGACTGAATTCCTCAACAAAATGAGGGAAA